AGGCTGAGGCGGAAAGATCACCAGAGCCCAGCAGGTTGGCACTGGGTTGGCCATGAGCGTGCCACTGCACTCCAACCTGGGCAACAGAGTGAGACTCCAACTCAAAAAAAAAAACAACAACAAAAAACAGAGTCTCAGTTTCCATTGTGATCTTTTGAGTAAGAATCTCTCAGGGTATAGCCCAGGAATCTGCATTTTTAACATGGGTAATTTCAACACACTACCGAATTTAGGAATGCTAAATGGCACTACCATCTACCATCCTACCTGGTTGCCTAAGCCAAAGTTTGATGTCATCATGTAGGGCAAATTTCACTCCTCCCGTTTAGGAAGCAAAAAGCTGCCACCAGCATGTCTTGGCCTCTATTCCCTCCTCTTTGTCTCCCTTGACAGCAATTTCATGGCACTTAAACATTCTGTTTTTCCTATCTAGTGGAAGTCCACATTCTCACATTTTCCTTCAAGGGTATATTTAGTGGCAACATTGGAACTCTTTACACTCTCCATAATTGGCATTGTGCATTGGTGGAGAGCAGTCAAGATGACATTTAAAAATTCTGGGTAACATTTCTTGGTGTTAAGAATTTAGAGAAATGTGATCCAAATTGGATTTTTGAAGGGTTGATTGGCTAATATATAATAAGGTCCCACAAGATCTCGGGGAACAAATTTCACTCCTAACTACTACCTAAGATAAATATCTTTGAAGTGAGGCTGAAGACTTCCCTAACCCCTTAAGATTGATTTCAGTGCTCCATCTAAGGCCTCCCTTGTTCCTGTCCTGTCTAGTACTATAGGACATGCTATCATTGCTTTCCTACAACACTGCCTCCCCCAACTAGACTGTCGGTATCCTGAAGACAGTTACATCACTCAGATTTCTGGACATAATGCATAGTGTCATGGGGTTGATAGAGGCCTTAGAGAATCTGGTCCAACCTCCAATGTTCTAGTGAGGCTAGGGACCATTTCTCATGGATATTGGACTACCATCCACCTGGTTGCCTGCAGGGAGGCTCAACTCAATGGCTTCTGAGTCTGTGCATCATAATGGCTAATAAAGAGACGACCCCAAGACAGACACAGTTTCTCTGAATGCATAAATGGTGTGATCCTTCAAAGCAGAGATCCTGGCTGAGAAGCTGCCAAAGTCACCAACGGCATCTCAACTCTGTACCACCTTCTAGTCACACACCCTATCTACCAAGTTATAGCCGCCAGCTGCCTCATGCAAAGGTGAACTTGATGGTTTGAATTTCAAGGAGGTCCAGACTCCAAATAATTGTGCAGATACAAATAAATCATTTATAAAAGTATATATACATTTATGCACATTATCACAAAATCCAATGTGCCCTAGAATATACTGGTTCATACTTCCTCACAGCCTATTCTATTCTGTCCATTATTTTCTTTTTGTTTGTTTTTGTAAAGCAGGCATCTGCTTCTTTTATTGTTTTTTGTTTTTTTTTAGTTGGAGTCTCATTCTGTCACCCAGGTTGGAGTGCAGTGGCATGCTCATGGCCACAGCAGCCTTGATCTGCTGGACTCAGGTGATCCTTCTTCCTCAAACTCCCAAGTAGCTGGAACCCAGGCATGAAACATCACACCCAGCTAATTTTTGATTTATTGTAGAGACGAGGTCTCACCAAATTGTCCAGGCTGGTCTTGAACTCCTGGGCTCAGGCAATCCTCTCGCCTCTGCCCCCAAAGTGCTGGGATTACAGGTGTGAGCCACCATGCCCAGCTCAGCAGGCATCTTCTCATAGAAACTTTTTTGAAGGGAAGATGAGGTATCGTCAGGCTTAGATACACCTGGGATCAAATAGACTTTGAACTTGGCTGTTTTCCTACAGAACCTGCCATTCCTCGGAGTACCTATGATCAGTATTCAAACAACCAACTTGGAAATGAACTTTTGATTCAAGAATTTGTTTGGTAGAATTCATTCTTTTCTGGATCAACAGAGAAAGAGTTACTTTCATCAACGCAAAATGACTTAAAAATATGTAACAACCGCCGATGCGGTGGCTCAAGCCTGTAATCCCAGCACTTTGGGAGGCAGAGGCAAGAGGATTGCCTGAGCCTAGGGGTTGGAGACCAACCTGGGCAACTTGGCGAGACCTAGTCTCTACAATAAATCAAAAAATAAGCTGGGTGTGGTAGCTCTTGCCTGTAGTTCCAGCCATTTGGAAGGTTGAGGTGGCGGGATTGCCTGAGCCCAGTGGGTTGAGGCTGCAGTGGCTGTGAACATGCCACTGTACTCCAGCCTGGGCAATAAAGTGAAACTCTGACTTTAAAAAAAAAGGCAACAAAAGGCAAATAAAATAGAGTAAATGAACAATACTTGAAGACCAGGCACAGAATTGACTTCTTTTAATAAAGGATAACTTACTAAGAGAGATAACAGAATTCCTTTTTCTGGTAGTCCTTAAAAAGATACTAAGTTTGTACCTACATAGAAGGGTTTAAATATGACCTGGGTGAAAGTGATATCTTCTCTCCAGAGGCCCTTCCAGTCAGTTATATCAGTTTTCTACCCTTACTGGAACAAACATACTTGCAGGTATTGTCCCCATTCAGATAATTTTGTGATACTTCATTATTAGGAAATCCTCACCTCTTTGATGTCTTTGAAATGCTGTCAGTGTTGTGTGAGGGATGGATCAAGTGAAGAATCTCCCACCGATCAGCTAAATTTCTATAGTGTTTGGGAGATGTATAAAATGTTTTCAAAGCAGGATTTATTCAGTTTAATCAAAAGATTTAAGAAGGCAGTTATGATAGAAACATACTGATTTTTTACTGTGCTATTTTCATTAACAATCCTGTTATCATTGTCAGAAGTCTGAAATTGGAATGTATAATCTATCAGTGACAGATGGATTTTGAGTTAGTGGAGTTTGTATAGTTTCCTTGAATCCTTTCAGGTCAGAATGGTGAGGGTAACATATTTTTCTTACTGTGCCAAGATATTGACTAACAGTAGCACTTATCGTAAAAATCGAGAACTAGAGTTCCCCTCAATAGAGAGACAGCATGAAGGCAAAACGGGTTCTAGAGTCAAGAAGAATTGGTGCAAATCCTAATTCTGCCACTTCCCTATTTTGGACGGGTTATTTGGCATAATCTCGTGGTCCATCTCCACCAATGGCAAAACCCGAAGCTTATAAATGTCCCATTTTTATTTCCTGTGTGTTTTGTTGCTGTTGTTGCCATTGTCTTATTTTTTAAGATTAATGCATGAAAAAGTATCCTAGTAGCCAAAAGAATGAATAAACTTGTTCTCCAAAGGTTTTTGAAGCATTATTTTGGCATCATAGAATTTTTATAGCTGAAATGGTACTGAAGACCACCTAGTCAAAGAGGCATAAAAAGGACCTTGAAAATTCTTTAGCCTGGAGCAGTTGTCTTCAATCCTGGTTAAACATTAGAATTACCTGGGGTACTTGTAAAAAATACTGGTGTCTGAGTCCCAGTTCTGAATCGGCATCCTTGGAACATCAGTATGTTTCAAAGCTGTTCCAGTGGTTGTAATGTTCAGCTAGATTTGAGAACCTCTGGTCTAGGGGCTCCTAATCCTTTAAGGGTGGCCATGGATGGCTCCAAAAGGTCTGAAACCTCTCAGGACACGTAAACAAAATGTGGATGTTTACCACATCTGATCCAAGCTCCCAGCTGGTCCTCAAATCTCCTCCACAACATCCCTACAGAGTGATCGTTCTGCTTTTGTTTAAACATTTCCATAGAAGGGCAACACCCCTCCCCTCAGGAAACCCATCTCATCTTGGAACAGTTCTGAGAGTCAAACCCCCTGAGGAAAGGGAGGATGGGAAGTCTAATCTTAAATTCAAGGCATAAAATATTAGTTAGAAGTACTCATTAAGGTCTTCATGTGAAAATTCTCCATTTTATAGAGCAAAAACCAAAGCACAGGGACTAGGTGTCTTGCCTAAACTAAGAGAGTTAATGATGGATGGAAGGATGGAAGCCCAGGCCTTCTGGTTCCGTTTCACTCCTGTCACTCACAGCATGAATCACAGAGTCACCTCAAGGGAGTGACCTGTGGTGGCACATTTGAAGATGAACAGGGCTGGGCCTGACCAAGGGCAGACCCTAATTACCTCCTCCTGGATCATCACTCTTGAAGATAGACCAACTCAGACAGGATAAGGAGAGCAGCCTGTCCTACCATGTGGAGTGCCTCCTATCCTTACCTGTACCCACAAAGTTGGAGGTGAAGTCACCAGGAAAACCTCTCCCTGGATGGTCCTATTGGTGTGGTGTAAGTTACCAACAGGGAGGCATTGGCTTATCTTGTCCCCCCGAGATACAGGGACAGGCCCTGAGGGGAGGGGCCCTGAGTGTGCTCTACCTCTGGTTCCCTGGAAGGTGGTGTATGATGATAAAATAGTAATCCGAATGTTGACGATCTATCTCCATGTTGTATTTGTACATATGTGCCAGAGTTTATGTGATCTTAAGAGAAAAATTAACCGGTTTAGGGTAGAATCTGGCTTGTTAATCACATGTTTATTACCAAGAAGCCCAGAATGAGTTAGTATCTCTGAACCTGGCTGCCTCATCTATAAACCAGAGTTGCTAATCTGCAGCTTTGAACTGCTAGTAGAGTGACTTACAAAACACAGAAAGTAGCTAACAGAGTGCCTGGCGCACAGTTTGTGCCCAATAATTGGTAGGTGTTAATACAATGATCACAATGCAAATGTTGTGACAAATTATTTTCACACTTATCTCACAACACAACACACTTTTGATAACAGACTGGATGTCATGGTACCTTCTCCAACTCTTGACCTCAAGCGATCCTCCCACCTTGGCATCCCAAAGCACTGGAATTACAGGCATAAGCCACTGCACTGGGCCCCACGGGACCTTCTGAACTCCCAATTCCACCCATAGAGCTTGGTACAAAGCTGTGCATGTGGCAGGCATGAGTGAGAACTTAGGTTGAAATGAATCAAACGACCCACTCTTACCAGATCATTCTGTTCTTTCAGGGGTATTTCAGACCCAGGTTCTGTCTCAAGGCTGACAGAATCAGTGCACTCAGCAAGTGTATCCTCAATCACTTCTTCATTGAGGGAGGATTCCATGGCATTGGCATCTGGGGGCTGCCCAGGGGGCCCAGGAGCAGCAGCCTCTGCACCCTGAAGAGCTGCATTTTCAAGCACGTCTCCTCTGGGGTCAGCTGGCATTGGCTCATCTGAAATTGTAGCTGAGTCACAGTGCACTTCATCTTCCGGTAAAGAATCACTACTGGGCATCTCAGTAATTTCTGCTTTGTCTCCAGTGGCTAAGGTGTCAACAGCAGCATCAGACATTTTAGGATCTGTCAACACAGTTAGAAACAGACGCTTTATGTATTCATCTGAATGGTTAAGCTTTCATTCAAAGGCCTGAATAATTAAATCTGGCAGGGGTGCACTTTCTTTGACCAAGCAGAAACTTTATGTCACCTTATGGGAGGCTGAATAATGGCCCCGAAAGATGGCCACATCCTAACTCCCGGAGCTCGTGAATGTGACCTTACATGGCAAAAGGGATTTGCAGAAGTGGTGAAGTTAAGGATCTTGAGGTGAAGGAATTAGGTGAGATGATCTGGGTTGGCTCTAAATGTGATCACAAGTGTCCTTATCAGGGAGAGGCAGAGGGAGACGTGACGACAAGGAGGAAAAGGTGATGTGATGACAGAATCAGAGGCTGGCGCGATGCACTCTGATGATGGATGAAAGGCCCAAACGTCAAGGGACGTGATGGCTACCAGAAGCCGAAAAAGGCAAGGAAACCGTTCTCCTCTCAAAGTCTCTGGAAGGAATCAGCCTGCCAACATCTTGACTCGAAGCCAGGGGCACTGATTTTGGATTTCTTACCTCCAGAACCGCAAGCGAAAACCATTTATGTTGGTATGAGCCACAAGTTTGCTGTAATGTGTGACACCAGTAATAATAAACGAATACAAACCTACAGTGCTAGCTTTAAACTTTGATGGATCTCTTATGCGGCATGACGGGATATGCGTATGGGGACCAGGGGTACTATCTGTAATCTGGCTTTATTAATGATATTTGCAGCAATAATGAGAATAAGCATAGGAAATACCGAGCACTTATTTTTAAAAAATGCCTTTTAGCTTTGCAATGTCATCCAAGACTTACAGTGAGAAAGAAACAAACAGACACATAGGTGTGCTTTGCTGGGACCAACCAGTGAAGGCCTGGGCCAATAGCTTAGAGAAACACAAGAATAAAATGGGAAAAAAAGAAGAGAGATATTAAGTCAAATGAGGAATTTAGTCATTATGAAGTAACCTACAAAGTAGAAAAGCTTTTGAAGTTTACAAATTACTGATATCATGTAGAACAGCACTGGTCAATAGAACTTTCTGTGGTGATAAAAATGTCCTGCACTGTCCAATGTGGTATAATTAGCCACAGATGGCTAGTGCCACCGAAGAACTGAATTTTAAAATTTAATTTTAAGTAACTTACATTTACATAGGTACATGTGACTGGTGGCTTCCTTATCAATGGCATAGATAAAGAAGGCTGGTTCAAGATGAGAATTTGCTTAGGCAAAAATGAAGATAGCATTCTTGCTAAACAAGAAGTCAAGCCTCAGGCAAATCAGTGGGTATTCTTGTTGACTTCTGTGTTTACCCATTAGTCAGATCTCAGGTTGCTGCTAAAACCTCAGTAGGTAAGAAGCCATTTAATGTACTGGCCAAATGGTGGGACAGGCTCTCTCCCATGGCTTGAGCTATCCCTCTTGTCCCCTCAAATAGCCATTCCTCAAGGCTGTCAGACCATTATCTTTTTCTTGCAACATTTTCCCCTCTGGTGAATCTCATTCCTTTCTCACAGTTTTCGCACACCACTTCTATGTAGTGGCTCTCAAATATCTCTATTCCACAGAGATAGAAAGTAGTGGTTTTTAGGGGCTGGAGGAAGGGGGAATAAGCCGTGACTGCTAACAGGTATGGGGCGTTTGGAGGGAGTTGATGAAAATGTTTTAAAATTAGATGGAGGTGATAGCTGTACAAGTCTATAAATATACTAAAAACCATGGAAGGGGCATAACTTGTTTTATTACACTTTGCTTTGTTGTGCTTTGCAGATGCTGCATTTTTTTACAAATTGAGTCTGTGGGAACCCTGTGTTAGGCAAGTCTACTGTCACCATTTTTTCAACAGCACATGCCCCCTTTGTTACTGTGTCCACATTTTTTTTGCAACAAAGTATGTCTTAATCAAGGTATGCTCTTTTAAAAAACATAATGCTATTGCACACTCAGTAGACTACAGTATGGTGTAAACATAACTTTTAAATGTACTGGGAAGCCAAAAAACTTGTGTAACTTCCTTTATTGTGATATTTACCTATAGCGACTATCTGGAACAAAACCTGCACTATTTCTGAGGTATGCTTGTACTTTACAAGAGTGAATGTGTTCGTAAATTTTATGGTACATGAATTATATTTCAATAATGCTGTTACTAAAGAAAATCTCTACTTCCAGACAAGTAGTTTTATGGACCAGTTGGACATCTCTTCCTGTCCCAAAGGAAACATGTTGTCTTATTCTTAATACTAGATATTTTTGACTCTATTTTCTTTTTGTTTTTAATGGCACCTACATTTCCCCAATAACCCAGGCCTAAAATCTCAGAGTTGTCATTGATTAAACTTTCACCCTCTCAAGAATATATACTATCACTAGCTATCATCTATTGAGTGCCTACTGTATCCATAACTTTAAATGTATTATCTCGTGTGAATTGGGTATTTTATAGATGAGGAAACCGGGGCTCCAATGTCACACTTGCAGTCAGTGGCAGATTTGAATTCTGTACCCATGTCTGACTTCGAGACTGAAGCACATCAGAACCCTATCTCCAATGGCACCCGTCTCTTCTCTTGCACCCCATCAGTGGCCAAATCCCAGAGGCTCTTTACTCAGAATGTATGTCCACTCATTCACTTCTGTTCTCACCGCCAGACCCTCACTGTGGTTCACGTTGACTATATCAGTACTGAGCTCCCCCAACCACTGCCGTTCTCCCCACTGCCCCATCTTCCTCCTACTTCACAGTTCTAATTACATCACTCCCTTGCTCCCACATCCTCAGGGGCTCCCCTTCCTGTCTCTACTGAGATGACATCAAAAGGCATCAGAGACCCCTGGGCACTGATCCTCCCACGATTCCCTTCAGAAACCTTAAATGAGACAATGTAAGTCTCTGGGCAATGCCTGACAATCACAAGAAATCTTCCAAGTGGCTGTTGATTTTAATGCACTATTTTGTTTATACACGAAGGTGCGGTTTAAATTTCTACCTCCTCCATTCTTTGTTCTTCCCAATTGAGTGTAATTTTTCTTCTTCTGAACCCCCCGGGTGCTTTGGAGACCTTACACAATTACAATCCTCTTCGATTAGAGTTGCTTGAATTTTTTCCTATTATATTGGAAATTCTATGAAGACAAGGGTCTTCCTTCTTCTGTTTTCATATTGTGTATAACACTTACCATGATTTCTTGTACCTAGCTTCCTAGTGGGAAGCTCTACAAATAAACCTGTAGCATTATATTAATATTTGTGGAGATATTCAGGCACTCTTTTATAGCAGGTCATTCCAAAGGAATCTCTATTTCCATACTGTCTGTCTTTGGATCCTTTACCTCCCAGTTAACTGAGTTAAAATGTATCTTTATAAACAAAAGTATCTGCCAGATTTTGAAACAGTAGTAATGCCCCTGTAAATAAGTCAACAGGCCAGGTGCAACACCTATAATCCCAGAACTTTGGGAAGCTGAGGCAGGAGGATCGTTTGAGGCCATAAGTTCAAAACAAGCCTGGAAACATAGCGAGAACTCATCTCTACAAAAAAAAAAAAATCAAAAAATCAAAAAATTAACTGGGACGTGGTGGCATATGCCTATAGTCTCAGCTACTCAGGAGACTGAGGTGGGAAGCTTGCTTGGGTCCAGAAGCTTGAGGCTGTGGTGAGTCATGATCAAACCACTTGACAGAGCAAGACCCCAAGTCAAAAAGACCTAAACAAACAAACAAACAAACAATAGGCAAGAAAAGCAATGTATGCGTACTTCCCTTTAGCTGATATATTAAGTCTAGAATATTCAAGGTTAGCCATGGGCTCTCCTGAAGCTGGTCAAAGCCTAATTGAAATAGCAAAGAATGATACGTGGTCACTGTACAAAAAAGGAGTAGTTCTTGTGGTTTAGGGAGGGGAGGTGGAATTGATGAGGGGTACCAAAAAGCGATCGTCATTTGGAAGCTTATAAAATCTTTGTGCAAATCTCTCTCTGAGTCAAGACTGGCTCAGGAGAGGGAGTTGGCAAACTGTAACCTGTGGGAACCAAATCTTGCCCTCTGCTTGTTTTTGTGAATACAATTTTATTGGCACAGAGACATACCCTTTGTTTACATACTGCACTGTTATAGCTTCTCTAGCATGACGGCAGCAGAGCTGAGAAGTTGCAACTTAGACCATATGGTCTGCTAAGTTGCAAAGCCTAAAATATTCACTATCTGGCCTGCTGCAGAAAATACTTGCTAGCATATTGCTTGACCACCATGGCCTAAAGATCTGTCTTAATTTATCCCATCCTTGCCCTAGTCCTAGGGGTGCAGCATTAAGGAGACTGTATTTCATGGATGAGAGTATCATTTATGAATAAATGTACTTTGACATCATTTTATCCCTCCCACTTTTTTTGAGTTGGGGTCTCATTCTGGCCTCCCAGGCTGGAGTGCAGTGGCCTGATCACTATGATCATGGCTCACAGCAGCCTTGACCTTCTGGGCTCTGGTGATCCTTCCACCTTAGCATCCTGAGAAGCTGGGGCTACAGGCACATGCCACCACACCAGGCTAATTTATTTTTTTGTAGAGAGGAGGTTTCACTGCATTGCCTAGGCTGGTCTCAACCTTGTGGTCTCAAATAATCCTCCTGCCTTGACCTCCCAAAGTGCTGGGGTCACAGATGTGAGCACCATACCTGGTCAATTCCCATTTTTTTTCATCAGTAGCTCTTGTCATCAACATGGTCTAATTGTTTTTATTTTTTTGTAAGGTAATTTGAAAATCCTTATTACTAATCCGCGTTATTAAGAAACAAATGAGTTCACTTTTCTATAAGCAGGAAAATGAAAATAAAACTGGCTATGGTAAACATATGTGGGCAAATGAAAACCACTCTGGGCACTTTTATGTATGTGATTTGTCCTAAGTACGCTGTTATAGTTCTTAATGTGTTCTAAAATACTTGAACATTTACCATATGTGACATATGTGCATGGTAGTTTTAATTT